AACGTAAAACAGTGACACCCATGTCTGTTTACCAAAACTAAGATATAAAACCATCACATCCTAGAAAACTAGAACAACCCGTTCTCATCCCCGAACCAAACATAACCTAATAAAATGTTTCCATGCTACAAAAATGTATATGGTATACTTGGTTCAATGGCGAAGCTAGAACTTAAGATTAGGTGGGAGGGGACAAATGTCAATGTGAGGGCCATTTACTCTTTAACTACATCGCAAATTAGGTAGGTCATTAAGGGGTCTAACGAAAAAATAACAAATTTAGGGGTCGAGAGGGCTCTGGGAAAAAAAACAAGAATCTCGCTAGCTCACTCGACTTGCTTGTTAGTGGCTCGGCTCGTTTGAATTTTTAAACAAGCTGAGCCAACACTTTAGCTCGGTTAATTAACAAGTTAGCTCAATCCAGCTCGCTAGCCGCTTGTGAGCCAAAACGAGCAAAGGTAAATCAGATGACAACAACTTGAATCAGTCCATATATGCCATGGCTCATTGGCCCAATATGATAAAACCCTAGCCCCAACACACGCTCCCACCTCTAGGCCTTAGACTTTCCCCATCCGCCGTTCCGCGCAAGCGTAGCCGTAAACGTATGCAAGCTCAGTTGTTCCCCTCCTGAGCCGCCGCACGCGGTACTCGCTAGGGCCTTGCAATCGTAGCTTTGCTTACTCCCTTGCAAGCCAACGCATAGCAGCAAGCATTAGCTTTTTTTCTTGATTTTCACAAACCAGCATAAAATCATCCGTCTTCTTATTTATTTAGTTTTTCCCAAATCAGTGCTCGTCTCTGTCTTTGCTGGATGATGAATAACCTCGACAGGGACAAAAATTCAAGTTAGCTCACGAGCCAGCTCGAGCTGCCAAGCGAGCCGAGCCGAGCTGAGCTTCTAGCTCGTTAGTATAACGAGCCGAGCCATAACAAGACAAGCCAACTCAATATCCAGCCCTAGGGTCAGACCAAGGCCCCTCCAGCCCCCTGTCTTCGCCCTTGAATTGGTTTAAAGCAACTCCAGGAGACTCTTTAAATCCTTCCGTATTAATAAGAATAGAAATTTTAGTCAAAATACCTTTCAACAACTTCTTTAATGTGATCTCCAAATACTGTCATCCTCTATTTCGATTTCTCACTGGCCAGAAACAGAGAGTAGAACTGACTTTCTAGAGTGCATACGAGGTACAGAGAAGTTACTGGAAGGTCAAAAGATACAAATAACGATTTTTATTTAAATCTCACCAAATAAGGATTTAGAGAGCGAGAAGAAAAATTGCTCGAGTAGAACTGACTTTCTAGAGTGCATACGAGGTACAGAGAAGTTACTGGAAGGTCAAAAGATACAAATAACGATTTTTATTTAAATCTCACCAAATAAGGATTTAGAGAGCGAGAAGAAAATTTGCTCTTAGAGTGATTTATCCTGAAACAAAGAACACCGTGCATATGTCCTTTCATGAATATAAAGCCTTGAAAGAATAATCTTTTAGGAAACTAAATTCAAAGCAATAAAGCCAAGGAGCTTTCTTGAGAGAAATGGAACGAGGTTGTACCGTCTTTATGCTCTTATAAAATCATGATTTTTTTTTCTCCAAAAGCAAAGAAAACTATACCTGTCTTTTGAGATAGAAATCAAGATAAAAATAATTTTGACGGCTACCTTTGCACCTAAACCTAGCTACAAAACCATTACTAACCACTAGTATATATCCTTATACATATACATACTAGAAGTCTTAGGCCTTATTCTGTTATTCCTCATTCCATGGGGTTAGAGGGGGTTGGGAGGGATTAATAGGGATTTTGACTTGCCAGAGATTTAAACACTCTCAATCTCCTCCGACTTCGTTGGATTGATTTTCAACCGTTCAAGACCTTACGGGGAAGGCCTATTTGGAACAGAAGATGGGTAAAACAAACAAAGAATTAGGAAAATAAAGAAAAACGACATGACATGGCCTTTGGAACATATGAATTCAAAACCCAGAAATGGTAGAACAAAAAACTTTTAAAGAGCATATAAATATGGTTTCTTTTGAGACAAAAATAAAGATAAAAATAATTTGACAGCTACATTTGCACCTATAAACGATTACTAACCACCAGTATATATTCCTACACATGCTAGGTGCCTTATGAGTAAGAGTCAATTTGGAACCAAAGAATCTGTAAAAACCAGAGAATTGGGAAAATAATAAAGAAAAAAAGATGACATGGCCTTTGGAATATAGGAATCCATAACCTAGGAATCCCTACACCCACAAGGAACCTTACGAATAATAGGGCCTGAAACGAAGGAATTGCAAATGTAGAAATAGGTGAAAATAAAGCAAATCGAAAAAATATAGTTATAAAACAAAGAATTAGAAAAAATATAGGAAAACAACATGACGTGGCTATCACCTGGAATCCTAGACAAAAACATTTAAAGAGAATTAGCATTTAAAAATAGTTTATTTGAGAGATTTATGTATGTTTATTATCTACAGTACGTTAATCCTGTAGGTCTATTACACGTGGGACGTTTTATCCATGAACTCAGGGCGCGTTTAGATGCAAAATTTTTTAGGTTTTAACTACTGTAGCACTTTCGTTTATATTTGATAATTAGTGTCTAATTATGGACTAATTATGTTCGAAAATTTCGTCTCGCGATTTCTCCCCCAACTGTATAATTAGTTTTTTTTTCGTCTACATTTAATACTCTATACATGTGTCGTAAAATTCGATGTGATGAATAGTGCGCAAAATTTTCTGGAACAGGCCCTCATTATAGCTACAATTCGTGGTAACCTTATCTTCTCTCTCAACGGCCGGAACACACACCGTGTCGTTCTAGCGTTCTCATCCTCCATCCGCTTGCTCCTGCTCTCTCAAGTCAAAGCAGTGGATATGGTGGCGCGAGCAGCGAGCTAGGGAGGCCAGGTAGCAGATTAGTGTCGGCGTTAACCGGCTGCTCGTGAGCGCGGCGGCCTCCTCCCTAGAGGTCAGTGCGCTGGCTGCGGTGGAAGCTGGGAGGTTGTGCCGACGACGCTACGCCACACGCGGACCAGACACCGGCGATGACCACTCTTGCGACGGCGGCCACGGCGGCGTGGACAAGGGAGGAGGACAAGGCGTTGGAGAACGCGGTGGCGGCCGCCGCGGCGCCGCCGGCGGACGGGCCGCCTGATGATGGCTGGTTCACGGCGCTCATGGCGAGCGTGCCGGCGCGGACGGCGGAGGAGGTGCGGCGGCACTACGAAGCGCTGGTGGAGGACGTGGCCGCCATCGAAGCCGGCCGCATCCCGCTCCCGCGCTACGCTGGGGAGGAGTCGTCCGCCGCCACGCCCGAGGGCTCCGGAGCCGCCGCCTCCGCGCCCAAGGACGGAGGAGGAGGAGGCGGCGGCGGGCACCGACGCGACGAACGGAAGAGCGGCGGCGGCGGCGTTGACGCGGGGAAGAGTTGCTCTAAGGCTGAGCAGGAGCGGCGCAAGGGCGTCCCCTGGACGGAAGAGGAGCACAGGTTCGTAGCAAAAATCTCCACGTGTTCTTGCCTTCAAAATTCAAATAAAGCTTGCATCTTTCATGCTAATCTTTGATGATGTTATTGTGTTGGTGGCAGGTTGTTCTTGCTGGGTCTGGACAAGTTCGGCAAGGGCGACTGGCGGAGCATCTCGCGCAACTTCGTCATCTCACGGACGCCGACGCAGGTGGCGAGCCACGCGCAGAAATACTTCATCCGCCTCAACTCCATGAACCGGGACCGGCGCCGCTCCAGCATCCACGACATCACCAGCGTGACCGCCGGCGAGGTCGCCGCGGCCGGCGCACCCATCACGGGCGGCCCAGCCGCCGCGGGGGCGATGCCCATGGGGCCCGCGGGCATGAAGCACCACCACCCGGCGCCGCCGATGGGCATGTACGGGCACGCGCCCATGGGCCACCCAGTCGCGGGGCACATGGTGGCGCCGGCGGCCGTCGGCACGCCCGTCATGTTCCCGCCGGGTCATCACTCGCCCTATGTCGTGCCAGTGGGATACCCAGCGCCGCCGGCCAAGATGCACCAATGATCGATCGTCTACCGGCGGCATTTGCACATCTGCAGAGCTGCATTTCGTTGCTTGTTCTTTCTTGATTTCGTTCATCTTTGTGTAGTCAAAGCCATCTATATATCCATCCTTTCCTGATCTCCCGGCCCTTAATTTGATGTAATGTAACATAGATGACTTGAGTGAGTGCAGGGCAGGCAGGCGATGAGGCGAATAATGAGTATCTGCTGACTGTTGCAATAGCTCTACTTATTGTAATCACACTCAGGGAGGCTCAAGGAATGTGTAATTAGTAGCAGCCTTCCAAGGTGCAAATGTTGATCATTTGTGCAGAGTTGCAACTGGGGACTGATCTGATTCCATTTCCCGGATGTAAATTGATTGTCTATGATATCTCATCTGTGCTGTAGTGCAGAAATATGTGTTCATCATCACAGTCCAATTCCTTTTTCCTTCTGAAGCATCTCAATCAAGTTCCCCCACCGCAGCCGTTGTTTTCAAACAGTGTCAGCTTGGGATTGAGCTAATGTTGTTTCAGTTTCAGTGACCATCTATGGTTGAGAAAATTGTAATTATAGGACGCGAAACAATGCGCTTCGCTATTACATGACTCCAAACATCGACTTCGCTAAAACAACCCTTGAAACGTTAGCACTTTGTTATACATGACATTTGATCTTTTTAATCATTTTTCTCAACTAAAATACATGTATTTTACCATGATGTGACCGTATTGCCCTCAGGGCTTCAATTGACGTGGGATGGGGCTACTGGCCGCTCGCCTGGCCTGCCTGGCTGGCCGCGGTCTGGGCTGGCTGGCCGACTGCGCCTGGGTCATTGCAGCTAGATGAATTCAGTTCAGACGAAATCACATCAGAAATCTATCGATAAATAAACAACTAATGTCTACGTCCAATCCAAATCTTTTATTTAGGTTCACTGATTTGATCTCTGTTCTGAACCTCAACCGAGTTTGGTGTAGACCTTGACGTCCCTCCACCGGGACTCCATGTAGTGCGAGGGGTCCGTCTGCGTATACACCCCGAACTTGAAGTAGTGGCGGTACCCGCCATGTCCCGCGACGGCGAGCCGCTCCTCGCCGTCGACGAACACGGTGAGCGCCCCCGCACCGACGTCGTGCACCACGTTGAGCCGGAACCAGCGGTCATAGATGGAAGCGTCGACAACAGCTCACTACTGGTAATCATAGGACATGATTAGCGTTGATCGTGAAGATTAGTGATACTGCTGGCTTAATTTAATTAGTATATACGTTTAAGAGGATCTCGGAGCGCGGCTTGGTGGGGCTGCCGGGGCTCAAGGGCTTGTCGGTGCAGTACACCCACATCCGCCGCACGCCGTCGCGGAACTCGTACCGCTGCTCCGGCGGCAGGTCGTACGGGTGGTGCAGCTTGAACCGGTCCTCGGTGAGGTTGACAGCGATGAAGCCCAGGGTCGGGTCAATGCTGGCGGAGCACTGACCGCACCACAAGACCAAGATGATGAACAGGAGCAGTAGAGGCCATGGCAGGAAGGAAGCAGGAGCCATTTGTGGATGGGCTTTCTTCTCGAGTTCACTTCACTGACACAGCCTAGGCGCGGCCGGCCAGCCAGCCCAGACCGCGGCCAGCCAGGCAGGTTAGGCGAGCGGCCAGCAGCCCCATCCCACGTCAATTGAAGCCCTGAGGGCAATACGGTCACATCATGGCAAAATACATGTATTTTAGTTGAGAAAAGTGATTAAAAAGACCAAATGTCATGTATAACAAAGTGCCAACGTTTCGAGGGTCGTTTTAGCGAAGTCGATGTTTAGAGTCCTATAATAACGAAGCACATTGCTTCGCGTCCTATAATTACAATTTTCTCTCTATGGTTTGATACTCAATTCAGATAGATAATAGATTAAATGTTTCTTTTCTTTTTAAAACCTTTTTTACTTGACTAGTGGACAGGCAAGTGCAACAGCATGTGGATATCAAAAGAAAATTCGTTTGTAAAGAAGGAATTAGAGTTGGCATATTTGTAATTAAAAATGGATTTTCCTTGAAGTGGAACATTCTGTTACTCAGTTGCCGGTGACAGATTGCCAATCTAATCATCTATACAACTGAGAATATACCGTCAAACAGCAGAACAACTTCATTATTTAGACTCGGCTCCTAATCTGCTACACAGTGGGCTATATAATTACAAACTCTTGAGACGTCAAGTACAAAATATTTATCTCCTTCATCTCCCACACCAAACCACTTGCAGGGCTCTGATGGAAGTATCAAGCTGTTCGGCTGATGGTTTTTGCGGCTGATAAGCCGGCTACAGCTATTTTGTTGTGAAAGAAAAACACTGTACCCTAGCCGCCTTGCCATCGTCAGAGTTCGTCTCCCTGATGTACTGTTGGGAAATCCTCCCCATGAGTGCAGGAGAGTAATAGCTCCTAGTGAGCAGGCCCACATGTCATAGGTGCAGCACAAGAAAGTGAACCAAACTTGTGCATCTAGTAATTTGCATCTTTGCTTACAAGAGAAGGAAGGGAAGTATATGGACACCACCCAAGCACCACAGTATAGAGAGTTCAGTTCAGCCCCATCGTGAGCACCAGAGAGAGCATCCGAGAGGGAGAAGAGAGAGATTAGAGAAGAGATCTTGCAATAGATCAAGAAGATTTGTCCACAAGGTTGTAAAGCTTCAGATCCACATCTTTGGTGCCTCTAACCTGAGTTTCACCATTATTTGGTGAGGTCTTTCTTCATCCTAAATAGCAGTCCCAAATTTTATTGTTACTTTCCAAGTCTGTAGAATCTTGATGTATGGTTGCCTCTCAGCCGCGCACTCGGTGCTAGCACACTGGCACATGACGTTCCTTTCTTGCAAACATGGAAACTGAGGAGACACGGATAGAAACTGTAGTATCAACTAGGCATAGATCTAGCGGGTACAACTTGACTAGAACATGATGAACAAACCCTAGAATATGAACTACGAGATCTAGATGGAGAAGAAGGGGGAGGGGCAGTGGTCTCTGACTGTCAGAGGGTTTGGTGGAGCTGCTGGAGCCGTCCATCACGTCGGTGATGTTGCCAGAGGGTGTTGGGTGATGTAGCGGTCGTAGGTGCGGTCCAGTGGTGGCGGCGAACCTCGTGGTGGTGCTTCCCGTCACTGGCTGCGCACCCTCTCTAGATCAGTGTTAGGGTTTTGTCGGTGGGAACTGTAGCTCGGTCAACCTCGTGAAGAGAGCTGCCGGCCCCCACCTCTCTTTATAGCGCAGTGTGACAGGAGCCTACCAACCATGTAGGGTTGAGCGCCCCCAATCAGGGCGCAAGGTCAAGGCCCAACTCAGCCATTGGGCCGAGCTGGAGAGATCACCACTAACAATCTTTCCCTTGATCTCATCTTATTACTTAAACTTAATTTACTTTATCTTGTTCCCATTCCATCATAGATCAGTGCATAGAGCGTGCCTCATCGTCACAGTCAGTTGCCATTAGATTAAACAACTACAATGCACTTATCTGTTTTGAAATAGATTCTCAACAAGGCTCTTATTGTCCAGGAATCACAGGCTTTCCCTTAAACCCATGCCGGCTAAGTGTTCTCTGAACACGCTGGGTGGTAAGCCTTTTATAAGCGGATCCGCGAGCATTTTTTCTGTTCTTATATGCTCAAGACTAATTATATGATCTCGGACTTTGTCTTTCACAATATAATACTTTATATCAATATGTTTGGCAGCACAACTTGACTTATTGTTGTGAGCATAATATACTGCTGGATTATTATCGCAGTATAACTTGAGTGGTTTGTGTATGTCGTCTACCACTTTCAACCCGGGCATGAATTTTTTCAGCCAATTCATCTGCCCTGTGGCCTCATAACATGCTACAAACTCGGCATACATTGCGGACGATGTAGTGACAGCTTGCTTTGAGTTTTTCCACGCTATAGCTCCTCCTGCGAGAGTGAATATGTATCCTGACGTGGATTTTCTATCATCTCCCGCATAATCAGAATCTGTATACCTCTCTATGTGCAGGGAATTAGATCTTCTGTACGTTAGCATGAGACCCTTCGTACCTTGCAGGTAACGCAAAACTTTCTTTACTAATTTCCAATGTTCTATTCTTAGATTACTCTGATATCTACCAAGTAACCCGGTTACAAATGCTAAGTCAGGGCGAGCACACACTTGAGCATACTGTAAACTTCCGACAGCTGAACTATATGAAACCGCTTTCATTTGATCGATCTCATATTGGTTCCTGGGACATTGAAATTCCCCATATCTGTCGCCCTTGACTATGGGAGTAGGTGAAGACTCACAATTTTGCATACTGTATTTCTTTAGAACTTTTTCTAAGTATGCCTTTTGTGATAATCCTAAAACCCCTTTTCTCTATCTGGGTGAATCTCTATTCCTAGGACGAATGAAGATTCACTAAGATCCTTCATATCAAACTTCGAGGACAAAAACTTCTTTGTTTCTAGTAGTAGATTAACATCACTGCTAGCGAGCAAGATGTCATCCACATACAAGACTAGGAAAATGTATTTTCCATTCTTAAACTTTGCATAAACGCAATTGTCTTCTACATTTTCTTGAAACCCAAACTTTCTTATTGTACTATCAAACTTCAAATACCACTGTCTTGAAGCTTGTTTTAATCCGTAAATGGATTTCTTCAGGTGGCATCCCATACGTTCTTTTCCCTCCACAACAAAACCTTTTGGTTGTGCCATGTAAACATTTTCCTCCAGATCCCCATTTAGGAACGCCGTCTTTACATCCATCTGATGTAATTCTAAATCGTAATGTGCTACAAGCACCATTATGATTCTAAAAGAATCCTTACATGAGACTGGAGAAAATGTCTCATTGTAATCTATGCCTTCTCTTTGCGTGAAACCTTTCGCCACAAGTCGCGCTTTAAACCTTTCTATATTGCCTTTGGAGTCATGTTTAGTTTTGTAGACCCATTTATAACCTACTGGCCTAGCTCCTTTAGGAATTGTTTCTAAGTTCCAAACACCGTTAGTTTTCATTGATTTCATTTCATCTTCCATGGCTTTAAGCCACTTAGATGAGTGAGCGCTTCTCATGGCTTCTTCAAATGAGGTGGGATCACCCTCCATTTGAAATTTCTCACATTCATAAACTTCGTAGCCATCAGGAATGGCTGATCTCCTAACTCTTTGAGACCTTCTAGGGGCCTCGTTAGATGACGCTTGTTCTATATGAGGCTGTTGTTGCTCTCCCTCATGTGTGACAATGGGTTCTAGGGGATCCTGAAGGATAGGTTTCTCATGTTCATTCATTGTTGCCACAGGAGAACTAACAACATGTGTTGTTACTATACTATCTTGCACTGTTGGTACAGCAACAACAGGTAGCGTGAAGAATGGCTCCTGAACCATAGGAGTGGGCATGTATACCTGCTTCTCTTCAAAACTAATTCCTCACGCTACTATGCTCCCCCTGATCATATCATCCTCCAAGAAGACAGCATGTCTTATTTCTACAAACTTCGTTTGTCTGTCAGGATGACAGACAACAAAAGCGATAACCTTTTGACTTTTCTGGATAGCCAATGAAATAGCAATTGACTGTCTTTGAGTCTAGCTTCCCTATGATTGGGTTAAAAACTTTTGCCTCAGCTGGACAACCCCACACACGTAAATAGTTAAGTGAGGGTTCCTTTCCTGTCCACAACCCATACGGTATTTTGGGCACCGACTTGCTTGGCACTCGATTAAGTATATGAATCGTAGTTTTTAACGCCTCCATCCATAAACTTATCGGTAGGGTAGAGTAACTTATCATACTTCTCACCATATCTATTAAGTTACAATTGCGTCTTTTAGCTACTCCATTCTGCTGAGGCTCGCCCGGTGTAGAATACTGGGCTACTATGCTATTTTCCTGTAAGAACCTTACAAAGAGTCTAGGAACTTGGCCATATGAGGTGTGTCGACCGTAGTACTCTCCCCCACGGTCGGACCTTACTACCTTAATCTTTAAGTTGTGCTGATTTTCTACTTCAGCCTTGAATATCTTAAATTTATCCAATGCTTCTGATCTTTCTTTAATTGGATAAATATAGCCAAAACGAGAATAGTCATCTATGAATGTTATAAATGAATCATAACCATCCACACTCTTCACAGGAAAAGGACCACAGATGTCTGTATGAACTATTTCTAAAATTCCTACGCTTTGTTTGGTATCTTTCTTTATTTTCTTAGCATACTTTCCTTTTATGCAATCAATGCATTGCTCTAAATCTTCTAAAGACGGAAGAATTGATTTCTTAATCAATCGCTCTACTCTCCCCTCGAAATATGGCCTAAACGACAGTGGCATAATTTCGATGATACATCATGAACTCTTTTCCGCTTATTACTTGCATTTATAGACGAAGATGCATTCTCATTCTCAGTACTTACATCATTCACATTCTCAGAATGCGATAATAAATAAAGCTTGTCTTATCGGAAGACAAGACCAACACACTTATTATTAATTACAATCCTACATTTGCCATTACCAAAATGACA